AATATGCGTTTTTGCTGCCTGTTGCAGCGCTCTAGCGCTGCACGGCAAAAACGCATAAAAACCCAGCGCTGAGATGCTCTCTGAAATGTACCCTGCGTACGTAGTGGGCAGCCGAGGTATAAAGCGCAGACATAACAACCGTCGCCCCAAGCCTGTGAGTGCGTAATGGTATGGCTAAAGTTCTCCAGCGACAGTCGAGGAAATGGCTGTGCAAATGCCTTCCCAGGTAATTCAAAATTAGCCAAAAATAGCGCTATTCAGCTCCAAAATATTTTCACCGAACGAAAAAGATAAGAATATACCTAACTCCAATCCTGAACATATCGAGAATATCGCGTCCTTGAAATAAGCCAATAAAAAAAATAACACCTATTACAGCAAATGAATATAGTGACAACTGCTTGCCCAAATAATCCATACTGTTTTGTAGCGGCGTTTTTGGTGCCTGGAATTACAAACCAGTTTCCGATTTTACTAGCGAAAAATGCTACATCCCAGTGACATCCCGGTTCCCAGACCAGTGAATGATTCATGTGTTCCTCATGATAATCAATGCCATATGATGAAAATGCGAGCGAATTTTGTGGTGTGCTGGTTGATCCGGATGATTTTGTTGAATTTGATGAGAAGCGCCTGCAGCACCACGGTCCTGGTGAATATGGAAGAAAGCAATACCAAGAGTTAAATGAAAGTGGTGGAGTTTTCGCTGCTTATCCAACTGTTGGCTGCCCCTATTTTGCAACAGTGTTCATGAAACACTGCTAATAAGTAAAAAAAGGAAAATTTATCTGCCACTGTCGAAGACAGAGCGGTACCCACTTTCGAAAACTCGATTTCCGTGTCTCAGCAAAGTATCGGCTAAACAAACGCTCCGGACCTAATGAACCTAACGATGGCGATACCCTTTTACTGCCGACGCATCGCCATCGTCGGGCTCATTCTGTCTCCCTTTTACTTTCCACATTTCATTTGGAAGCAGCGTTTTACTTTACTGTTAAGAAAGAGAGTACGTGATATTTAACTGCTGACTGAAGATGGTGGAATGACGGGACATAACAGATCCGTGCCCTGCAAATATTTTTCAGATCTGCTCGAGTATGTTCCAAGCATTTTAATGAACCGCTAATATAAAACAGCACATCGCTGATCCTTAATTTGTCGTTCGATGCATCCGCCAATCAAAGCTCTTCCTTTTTTCAACTTTTTTTTT